TGTAGCATACAAGCTTTACAAGCTAGATCGACACAATCAAAATAACATAGGGACTTTTTGGAATTATTTTAGCAATGCCAGAAAAAGAGTCTATCACCAACTCCTCCTTTTGACTGAAATTCTTCCCAAAGTCACTCCAACTAAAATTTCATATTAAATCAATATTATTTGAAGGCTTCAAGAACTCACATTAGAGTGAAAATTAACAAATACAATTTTACATATATAAGTAATTTGTATTACATTATAGAGCTTTATTGAGTACTTGTTCATCATTTTATTTTAACAAGATGGGAAAGAACCATAAGTTAAGCAGAATCAGTACAAACTCAGCTTTTTTCATAGGGGAAAGGAAAGACGTGTGAAAACACATTAGAGATAACTGCAGCAGGCCAAGAAGGTCCAGGATTGCAGATTAGGTAAATGCTATGCCTACTACCTTCCAGGATCGCACCAAAATTACAAATAAATTATAGAACAATCAACCTCAAATATCATCTGAAGCCTAGGTGAACAGAACCCTTATAATTAAGGATATAAAGAAGAGGCCACATCGAGACCAGTAGGAGGAGCAGAGGTGCGAAACAGGTTGACCCCAAACCCACAGATAGTGGTTGAACACCAGGAGGAACACCTGAGTGATGGATTTCCCCTCCACCCCTCCCCGCCCGGAAGAGGGAGGGCCCCAGTCCCATGCTGGGATTTCCAGCCCAGAAGTCTTGTGCTAGGAAGAGCAGTCCCCATAAGACCTGGCAGGGAAAATCAGCAAGGACTCTGTCCTTCCATCTCAGTGAGATGGAAAGTGGTTGGAAACGCAGATACCCTCTTCAAAGGCTGGCACACAGGCTCACTTGCAAACACTCACCTAGTCTTCGGTGGAGGAGCAGCAACTTGAGAGGTGCTGGAGACATCCTGGGAAAGAGTGAACTGTGTTGATTTAGAGTGAGGGCTGGAGGAACCAGAGCCATTGTCCCTGTGTGGACCCTGCCTCATGTGTAGCCTACAGCAGGGCCCCATTTTTTCTATTTTGAACCTTTTCCCAAAGGGCCAAAACTGAGATTGCTTGATCTGGTAAAATCCACGCATGCACATGACCTGGTGATACCCTGTGTCCACATCCTACATTGCTAGTACTACATCACCAGGTACACTCCTGGTTCTTGCATGGCAGCCCCACCTCCCAAGTTGTGGGAGCTTTTTACAGCAGCGGATGGCCTGCAGTAGCCTGGGAAACTGTTTGGGGTGGGCAGTGAGCCATAACCTGTGCCACAATCTCTCTTAGGCAGATCTCGGAGACCTGCAGGACTGAGGTGAGGGGTAGCTGGCCGCGACGTTCTGAGGGCGTTTTTGAGAAGTGGGCACAGGCCTGGCACTCGTGCAAGAGCCAAAATTGTATTAACTTTGTAAAAACCAAGGCCCACACCCTGTAACTCCCTGGAACCCTGCCCCGCCCACCTAGTGTTGCATCACTGGGGACACTCTCAACACCAGGTCAATCAGTTTAGCCTATGCACCTAAGGAGGCTTTTTCAACAGCTGAGTTTTACAGGAAGCCAGCAGGTGGCAACAGGCATAGGGGGCCTTGGACCAGTTGCTAAGCTTTCCTAAGCCCAATACAAGTGGCAGCTGGCCTTGGTTCACACAGCAAGACCACCCCCACATGCCTCCACGTCCTGCACAGGCATCAGCTAACCACATATAGCTTTGTAGCTCCTACCACGTAGCCCTGGGCTGGTCACAGGCAAGGCCGAAATGGGCCTACACCAGAGTTATTCCAAAGAGACATGAGAAACAGCACACCCAGAGGTCAGCTTCAGACCACACCAGAGCACTGCCTGATTAGCCCCACATGAAGTACACCCAAAGGGTGGTCTTAACAGGCACAAGAGCCTGTGGGGGTGAATCCCCTTCTGAGGGGTCACCCTTCACACAGCAGCTTATACGCTGTGGGTGTAGCCAATCCTCAGAGTCAGTCAGGCTGGGAGTCAGTCCCACCCACTAATGCACCAAAAGCAATCAAGATTCAACTACAACAGGAGAATACACACAAAGCACACACAAGGGACACTCCTGGAACACAAGCACAGGTGATCAGGAAGACAGTGCCAATGGACCACACAGGACACCAAGAAAAGACTGAGAAACATAGGAGATCTACATAATACAGATAAGCAAACAAAGAAAGGCAACCAGAATGAGGGGATAAAGAAAGATACCCCAAATAAAAGAACAGGAGAAAACTCCACAAAGAGAACAAAATGAACTGAGGAAATGAACATACCAGAGAAAGAGCTTAAAACACTGGTTATAAGAATGCTTAAGGAACTTAGCAAGAATTTCAATAAAGAGATAGTAAGCATAAAGAAGGACACAGAAACCATAAAAAAAGACCCAGTCAGAAATAAACAAAAAAATAACTGAAATGAAGAATACATGAAGAGAAACCATGGGCCGGCCGGGTGGCGCATTGGTTAAGAGCTGGCTTGGGATGCCAGCTCTGAGGAACAGGGACCCGGTTTGGATCCCACATATGAGGGCCAATGACACTGCCATCTACAGCTAAGATGGTGAACAACAGCTCGACCTGGAGCTGGGCTGCCATGAGTCGCCGGCGACGGCGTAGGCTGCAGCCCCTGTGGCAGTGGGTTGCCATAAGCTACCGTGTGTGGCCAGCAGCCAATGTGAGCTGCCAATAGCCGCCATGACCGGCCGTCCAGAGGCCGACAACCAATCTGCCTCACCTGAGAAAAGCGCAATGATAACATCAATATGGGCCAGTGAAGTGACGTACTCTACAACTAGACTGAAGAACAAAAGGACAGCAACTTGTCTGTTCCCCTTCCCCTGATTCCCCAGCGCTGTTCCCCTCCTCCAATTCCCCAATAAACTCTTTAAAAAAAAAGAGAAGTCAATAGCAGATTAGATGAAACAGAAGACTGGATCATTGATTTAGAAGACAAAGTAGCAGAAAATATTTAATCAAAACAACAGAAAGAATTAAAAAAAGAAAAAAATGAAGGTAGTTGCATTATACTGTGTTTCCCCCAAAATAAGACCAGGTCTTATATTAATTTTTGGTCCATTAATCTACATTTATTCACTTATTCATATACAGCAATCTACATTTATTCAAACAGTCATGTCTGGCTGATGATCTTAACTGGAACTTATGTTTGGGGTAGGGCTTATATTACGAACATCCTGAAACATCATGCTAGGGCTTATTTTCTGGTTAGGTCTTATTTTGGGGAAAACACGGTAGGAGTACCAGAAGGAGAAAAGAGGGAGCAAGGGGTTGAGAGCCTATTTCAATAAATCATGACTGAAAATTTCCCTAACCTGGCAAAGGAAATAGACATTCAAGCTCAGAAAGTGAAGAGAGTCCCAAACAAGATGAACCCAAAAGGGCCCACATCAAGACACATTATAATTAGAATGGCAACAGTGAAAGACAAAGAGAGAATCCTAAAAGTAGCAAAAGAAAGACAACTACTACTTACAAGGGAGCTCCCATAAGACTATCAGCTGGTTTCTCAACAGAAGCTTTGCAGGCCCGAGGGGAGTGGCTCAAATATTCAAAGTGATGAATAACAGTGGCCTACAATCAAGACTAATCAACCCAGCAAGGTTATCATTTAAAATTAAAGGAGAGATAAAGAGCTTCCAGACAATAAAAAGTTAAAGGAATTCACTACCACCATGTCAGTATTACAAGGAATGTTAAAAGAACTTATTGAAGCAGAAGAAAGGACAAAACAAAAAAACCACCGAAGATAAAAAATATGAATAATAAAATGGCAATAACTATGTACAATACCTACTGATAATCACTTTAATGTAAATAGATTAAATGGTCCAATCAAAAGACATAGGTAGCTGAATGGATAAGAAACAAGATCCATGCATATGCTGTCTACAAGACACCCACCTCTGATAGAAAGAGACACATAGACTAAACGTAAACAGATAGAAAAAGATATTTCATGCAAATGGAAATGAGAAAAAATTTGGGATAGCAATACTTGTATCAGACAAAATAGACTTTAACATGAAGACTATAATAAGAGACAAAAGAAGGATATTACTTAATAATAAAGGGATCAATCCACAAAGAGGACTAAATCCTAGTAAAAATTTAGGCACCCTACATAGGAGGAGCCAAATAGAAAAAACAAATGTTGACTGACATAAAGATAGAAATCAATAGTAACACAATCATAGTGGGGGACTTTAATATTCTACTGATACCAATGAATAAATCTTACAGTTAGAAAATCAACACCGAAACAGCAGCCTTAAGGAACACACTAGACCAGATGGATTTAATTGATATCTTTAGAGCTGGTCACCTCAAAGCAGCAGAATATACATTCTTTTCAAGTGCACATGGAACATTTTGCAAGATAGTCCACATACTAGGCCACAAAACAAGTCTCAATAAATTTAAGAAGATTGAAATCATATCAAGCATTTTCTCTGACCACAATAGTATGAAACTAGAAATCAGTTACAAGAAAAAAACTGAAAAATACAAAAACACATGGAGGCTAATAACGTCCTGCTAAATAATGAAGGGTCAACAATGAGATTAAGGAAGAAATAAAAAAATACATTAACACAAACAAAAATGAAAACACAATGACCTAAAATAGAGGGTCCACAGCAAAATCATCATCAGAGGGAAATTCATAGCAATGCAGGCCTTCCTAAGAAACAAGAAAAATCTCAAATAAACAGTCTAACTTTGCATTTAAGGGAACTGGAAAAAGAACAGCAAACAAAACCCAAAGTGAGTAGAAGGAAGGAAATAATACACATCAGAGTGGAAATAAAAGAAATAGAGGCTAGAGAAAAAAATATGAAAGATCAATGAAACAAAGAGCTATTTTTTTGAAAACATAAACAAAATTGACAATCCTTTTACTACACTCATCAAGAAAAAAAGAGAGAGATGAGTGCTGGGCGAGCGCTGCCAGGCGCGGTGCTAGTCACCGGATGAAGTCAACGATGAGGTGACAGTCACGGAGGATAAGATTAATGCCCTCATTAAAGCAGCCGGTGTAAATGTTGAACCTTTCTGGCCAGGCTTGTTTGCAAAAGTTCTGGCCAATGTCAACATCGGGAGCCTCATCTGCAATGTAGGGGCTGGTGGACCTGCCCCAGCAGCTGGAGCTGCACCAGCAGGAGGTCCTGCCCCCTCCACCACTGCTGCCCCAGATGAGGAGAAGAAAGTGGAAGCAAAGAAAGAAGAATCTGAGGAGTCTGATGATGACATGGGCTTTGGTCTTTTTGACTAAACCTCTTGTAACATGTTTAATAAAAAGCTGAACTCTGAAAAAAAAAAGAAAGAAAGAAAAAAGAGAGAGGACCCAAATAAATAAAACCAGAAATGAAAGAGAAGTGACAATGGACACCACAGAAATACAAAAAAATTTAAGAAATACTATCAGCAACTTTACAACAACAAAGTGGACAATCTGGAAGAAGTGGATAAATTATTAGAAGCATATAATATTCCAAAAATGAATAAAAAAATAAACAGAAACTCTGAACAGATTGATTACTACTAACATAATTGAATCAGTAATCAACAAGGTCCCAAGAAAAAAAAAGTCCTGAACCAGATGGCTTCACAGGTGAATTTTATCAAACATTCAAAAAAGAATTAACATCTATTTTTTTTCAATCTATTTCAAAAAATTCAAGGGGAGGAAAGGCTCCCAACCTCAAGCTATCAAGCCACCATTATACTTATTCTAAAACCAGACAAAGACATTACACACAGAAAAAAAACTATCCCTAATGAACATATACAAAAATCCTAAAAAAAAAAAAATTAGAAAAACCGAGTTCAGGAATACATTAAAAAGATCATACACAACAATCAAATGGGTATCATTCTGACATGCAAGTTTGGTTCAATATGCACAAATCAATTAACATGATACACTCCATAAACAAAATGAAAGATAAAAATTACATGGTCATATCAATAGATGCAAAAAAAGAGTTTTACAAAATCCAGCATTCAGTTATTCAGTTATGTTAAAAACTCTCAGCAAAGTGGAAATATAGAAAACATATCTCAATATAATAAAGGCCATATATGACAAACCCCACAGCAAATACCACACTCTATGGGGAAAAGCTAAAAGCATTCTCCTGATGATCAGGAACAAGACAAGGATGCCAACTATCGCTATTTTTATTCAACGTAGTACTGGAAGTCCTAGCCACAGTAATCCAAAAAGAAAAAGAAGTAAAGAGAATTTTATGAATTTGACCTCAAACACAAGAAAAGTAAAAGCTAAAATAAATAAATGGGACTATATCAAACCAAAAAGCTGTACAGCAAAAGAAACCGTAGACAAAATAAAGGGGCAACCAACTGAATGGGAGAAGATATTTCCAAACAATGCCTCCGATAAGGGCTAATATCCAAAATATATAAAGAACTCACACAACTAAACAACAAAAAAGCAAACAATCCAATTAAACAATGGGCAGAGGACCTGAATAGACACTTCCTCAAAGAGGATATACAGATGGCCAATAGACAGATGAAAGGATGCTCAACATCACTATCATCGGAGAAATGTGAATAAAAACCACACCGGTTAGAATGGCTCTCATCAACAAGACAAATAACAAGTGTTGGAGAGGCTGTGGAGAAAAAGCCACCCTCATACACTGCTGGTGGGAATGCAGGTTGGTGTAGTTGTTATAAGAAGGCAGTGTGGAGGTTCCTCCAGAGAGTAAGAATAGGATTACCATGTGACCCAGCAATCCCTCTCCTGGGATCTACACCAAAAATCTGAAAATATTTATTCGTAAAGATGTATGTGCTCTGATGTTCATTGCAGCTTTATTTAAGGTGGCCAAGACATGGAAACAACCAATGTGTCCTTCAATAGATGATGATTGGATAAAGAAGACGTGGTTATATACACAATGGAATACTATTGTGCCATAAGAAAAAATGAAATAGTGCCATTTGCAACAACATGGATGGATCTTGAGATTATTATGCTAAGCGAACTAAGTCAGACAGAAAAAGTGAAGAACCACATGACATCACTCATATCTGGGATATAAAACTGAAAGCAACAAAGAACAAAACAAACAAATAAAGAAACACAAACTCACAGACACAGACTATAGTTTAGTGGTTTCCAAAGGGTAAGAAAGGAGGAGGGTGGTAGATGAATGTAAACAGGGTCAAATACATGGTGATGGAAGGAGAACTGACTCTGGGTGGTGGGGACACAATGTGATATATAGATGATACATTACAGAATTGTACACCTAAAACCTATGTGATTTTACTAACCATTGTCACCCAAACAAATTTTAATTAAAAAAATACAAAAGAAAAAAGTAAAAGGCATCCAAATAGAAAAGAAATAAGTAAAACTGTCATCATTTGCAGAACACATGAAACAATATCTAGAGAACCCCAAAGATTCCACCAATAAACTATTAGAACAGATAATTGAATTTACTAAAGTAGCAGGATCTAATATTAATATTCAGAAATCAGTTGCATTTTTATACACAAATAATGAATTATCACAAAGAGAAATTAAGAAAACTATGCTATTTACAATTGTATCAAAAAAAACAAATAAAATACCTGAGAATATATTTAACCAACAAAGTAAATCACCTGTATGTGAAAAATTATAAAACACAGAAGAGAGAATTTAAAGAAGATACAAATAAATAAAAACATATACCATGGTCATGGATAGGAGAATTAACATCATTAAAATATGCATACTACCCACAGCAATCTATAGATTCAATGCAATCTCTATCAAAATACCAATGGCATTTTTCACAGAACTAGAACAAATAATCCTAATATTTACATGGAATCATAAAAGACTTCAAGTAGCCAATGAAATCTTAAAAAACAAGAACAATGCTGGAGGTATCACACCACATGACATCAAACTATACCCCAAGGCCATAGTAATCAAAACAGCATGGTATTGGCATAAAATCAGACATACAGATCAATGGAATAGAATAGAGAGCCAGAATTAATTTCATGCCTATATGGTTATTTATTCTATGACAAAGGAAAGAAGAATATATATTGGGATAAAGACAAGCTATTCAATAAGTAGTGCTGGGAAAATTGGACATATATATGCAAAAAAATAAAACTGAACCACCTTCCTATGCCACATACAAAAATAAACTCAAAATGAATCAAAGACTAAAATGTAAGGTCCAAAATCATAAAACTCCTAGAAGAAAATATAAGAAGTAGACTTTCAGACATTACCCTTAGTAATATTTTTACTGACACATGAAGTAGGGCAAGTAAGTTCATGAACTCATCCTAGAAAAAGTGCTACATACCTCATTGCTGAATATCACTATGGTCACCTTCGAAGTACTCCCCTTAGGAAGCTATGCACTGATGCCAGCACCTAGTCCACCCTTCAAAGCAATTTTGGAACTCTTTTTTTGGAATGGCCATCAGAGCTGTCATCGTATTACCCTTGATGTCCTGAATGTCATAAAAATGTCTTCCTTTCAGTATTTCCTTTAGCTTCAGGTAAAGAAAGAAGTCATTGGGGACCAGATCAGGTGAGTAGGGAGGGTGTTCCAATACAGTTATTTGTTTACTGGCTAAAAACTCCCTCACAGACAGTGTCATGTGAGCTGGTGTATTGTCGTGATGCAAGAGCTCCTTCAGAACCATTTTTGCACACACCTTTCTCATGCCAAGATTTTCAGTTAACATTTTCCTCATCTTTTCTCTATTGATGTTTACTTGGTCTACTATGTTTCTTACAGTCAGCTGATGATTTTGACGCACAATTCAACAAATTTTTGCAATGTGTTTGTGAGTTTTGCTAGTTACTGGCTGCCCTGACCTCTCTTCATCTGTGACACGTTCTTTCCCCTCTGAAAAAATGTTTAATCCATTTGTACACTGCCGTTTTCTTTATGACATTATCCCCCTAAACTTGGACTAACATGTTCCTGATTTCACTTCCACTTTTGCCAAGTTTAACAAGAAATTTAATGTTTGTTTGTTGCTCTAATTCAAGCTCAGAATATGAGCTTGAATTGTGTTATGGCACACAAAAACAGTAATGAATACCACTCAACAGGACACCACCACACATTGACATGAACACAGCTGTGAGACACTGATATACCAAGGTTATGAAACCTTACAGAGCTGTTTATACAGTGTTGCGAATGTAAGCAAATGGTGGCAAGTTTGCAAACTTAATTGTCGAACCTCGTGTGTGTGTGTGTGTGTGTGTGTGTGTGTGTGTTTCCCCCCACAGGATGTAAAGTACAGCATAAGGAATACAGTCAATTGTATTGTAATAGCTATGTACAGCATCATGTGGGTAGTAGACTTTTGAGGTTATCACTTTTTGAAGTGTGTAAATGTCTAATTATTGTTATTTTTGTACACCTGAAACTAATAATAAAAAGGAAATAACTGCTGAAAACACCTAATCAGAACAACAAAACGTAAAAGAATCCAAAAAACTAAGGATAGTTTAATGGACCTCTGCGAAAACATCAAGCATACCAACATTTGCCTCATACAGGTACCAGAAAGAGAAGAAAGACAGCCAGGAATTGAAAATTTATTTGAAGAAATAATGACAGAAAACTTCCCTAACCTGGCTAAGAAAATAGACATACAAGCCCAGGAAATGCAGGGAGTTCCAAATAAGATAAATCTAAGGAGGCCCACACCAAGACACATCATAATTAAAGTGCCAAAGGTTAAAGACAAAGAAAGAATCTTAAAAGTAGCAAGAGAAAACCAGTTAGTTATCTACAAGGGAGCTCCCATAAGATTGTCAGCTGATTTCTCAACAGAAACTTTGCAGGTAAGGAAGAATTGGCATGAAACATTCAAAGTAATGAAAAGCAAGGACCTACAACCAAGATTACTCCACCTAGCAAAGCTATCATTTAGAATCAAAGGACAGAATAAGAGTTTCCCAGAAAATAAAAAGCTAAAGGAGTTCATCACCACCAAACAGTATTATTAGAAATGTTAAAGGGACTCCTTTATAAGCAGGGGAAAAAAGATTAAAATTATTAACAATAAAATCGCAATTACTACATTGCTATCAACAATTACTTTAAATGCAGATGGGTTTAATGCTCCAATAAAAAGACATAGAGGGGCTGAATGGATAAGAAAACAAGATCCATGCATAAGCTGCTTACAAGAGACCTACTTCAGGTAAAAAGACACACACAGGCTGAAAGTAAAGAGATGGAAGATATTTCACATAAATGTAAATGAAAAAAAAAGCTGAGGTAACAATCTTTATATCAGACAA